TGGCAGGAGGACAGCAGGTATGTTAACATGTTTAACACCTTAACAGACTGGCAGACTCACTGGACACCCAACCGCCAACTGGCCACTATGTCAACTTTTAAGATACTTCACAGGCACCTACAATTCAGATGTCTAAAACCAAACCATCATCATCTAATTAAAATATGCTCTAGCTTTGGTACTCCTAATTTTAGAAACCAATGAAATCGTCTACACAATTGGCCAATCCAGTAACCAACCATTCACTGTCCTTTACTCAACCCTCTCCTTCTGCCCCCAAATGCAATCGCTAAGTCCTAATTATTCAGCTCTTTGATCTCTTAAATTCATCTATTCCTTTAAAAAAAGCATTACCATTACCCTAGTCTAGACTCTCATTTGTATTACAGCTTTCAGTCTCTCTCCTTTGCAATCTGTTTGCCAGTTTGCAACTAGTTATCTTTATAAAATCTTAAATCTGATCAAATATTTCCCCTACTTCTAATATTCCAATTATTCCCCCCTACCTACAAAACAAAGTCCAAACTCCTGAATAAGAGCTTGATCTGACAACTGCTTACCTCTCGAATTCTGCTTGTACTGTCGACACTACCAACCCCACCACCAGGCCCTCTACTCACCTGTCCAGGCCATTCTACCTCCTTTTCTGCACCTCTCACCACACCACCACCACCTTTTTTTCTTGTCTCTAATGAGGTGTCATTTCCTTATGGAAATGAAATCTTTCCTAACCACTCAAGACTGAGTTAAATGCCCCATCCCACGTGCTCCTGTGGCACTGTGAGTTTCCCCTGCCACAGGACAGGTGTCCCTCAGCGTCTGCGGGAGACTGCTTCCGGGACCTCCCTGCGGACACCAGAATCTACCGATGCTCAAGCCCCTTATATAAAATGGTACGGTATTTGCACATGACCTGCCCACACCTTCTCATATCGTTAAATCACATCTAGATTCCTTATAACATCTAATACAATGTAACTACCATGTTCCCCCGAAAATAAGACCTACCCATAAAATCAGCCCTAGCAGGATGTCTAAGCATGTGCGCAATAGAAGCCCTACCCCGAAAATCAGCCCTACCCCGAAAAGCAGCCCTTCCCATCTGCCCCATCATGACAGCTGCTATCCTAGAGGTGACTGGAAAGGTGCGGGCAGCCCCACCAACAAGGTCAGCTCCCCCGCCAGGTCCCGGCCATCCTGTGTGTGCTGCAAGCTGAGGCTTTGAGGGGAAAATAACACATGCCCTGAAAATAAGCCCTAGGGTACTTCTTGAGGAAAAATAAATAGAAGACCCTGTCCTATTTTCGGGGAAACACGGTACTATGTAAATAGTTATTATGCCATATTGTTTAGGGAATGATGACAAGAAAAAAGCTTGTACATATTCAGTACAGACGCAACCATCCATTTTTTTTCTCCCAAATATTTTTTTGATCCTCAGCTGGTTGGATCCAGAGAGGCAGAACCCATGGATGTGGAGGGCTGACTGCCTTTACAGTATTTGTTTGTTTCATTTTCTGCTTTAGTAAAAAAGAGAATATAACTCAGAGTCCTTCTCATTTGTTGCCATGTAAGTGCTCAATAAATACTTCTTGAGTAAATTAATGAATAAATAGAGGACTTCCTTTAATGCTTCCTTTTAATGTATCTTGAACAAAATCTTTTTAAATGCATTGCTAATCTAGCAAAAATAATCAAAAGAGGGTAAAAACGAAGTGAAAGCAGAACCTCTACAGAATAAATGGGTACATCAAAGCCAAATTTCCTCCTAATGATTTCTGTGGAAGCTTGTATTCTTCAAGCTTATTTCTACCTCCACAGCTACAAGGGGCATGGAAGACCAGATGGCTAGGTTCTGCTCAAAAGGGGGAGTCTAACAGGAGACACCCAGGTAAAAAGCCATCCATGTGGTGTAACTGTGAACTAGAAACATAATACACAGAAAGGCACAGCAAGGAGACAGGCCTGTCTCCACTTTGATGCTAAGAGGTAGGGAAGAGCAAATACTCCCCTGAAAACCCTAAGGACAGGTCGACCCTCACAGATAAGTACAGTCTGAACTCACAATGTGAATTTAAAGCAGAAAATTTAATCCGGTCCCAAGTTGTGTCCTTAGCAGCTTACAGAAGCAAAAGCAAACCCTTCTAGGCATGAAACCACCTTCAATCCAGATAAACATCAAACAGTTTCAAGATACAAAAACTGCATAGAAAATGAACAACTCGCAGTTATAAAACACATACAGCACCATGAATAAGGGCAAGAAAGGGAAGAAAAGTATAATATAGTAAGAACCAAAAAGATTTTAGATAGAATTTTCAGTTACAAAATATAAAATAGCTAGCTATGTTTCATGTGTCTTAAGCAATAAAAGGGAAGTTTGAAAATATAAGGAATAAGAGACCAACCAAAGTGAAAACAACTTCTAGAAATGAAAAATACAATCACCGAAATTAAAAACCCAACATAAATAAACTGGCAGATGAGAGGCAACTAAAGAGGAAATTAGTGAACTATGTAGACCTGAGGAAGTAATCCAGAATGTAGGTCGGAAAGATAAAGAAATAGAAAATATAATAGAGAAGTTTAAAGACATGGAAAACAAAATAAGATCTAACATATGTCTAACTGTAGTTCCAGAAGGAGATAATAGAGAAATGGGAAGAGATGATATCCAAAGAGATAGTGACAGAGAATTCCAGAATTGCAGGAAAATACCAATCCTAAGATCCAGGAAGCCCAACAAATCTCAAGCTGAATAAATACAAAGAAATACATACTCAGTCACTTCATAGTAAAACTGCCATTTATACCAAAGAAAAAGATTTTAAAAATAAAGTTAATCAAATTTTAAAAGAGCAGTCAAGAGGAAAAAATATGACAACAAAAGCATGATACCTGACTTCCCAACAGCAACAGTGGAAGCCAAAAGACACTGGAATAACATCTTAAATGTGTCTTTACCACAAAAAGATCCTCACCTAAAGGAACTTCAATAGGATGCACATCACACAGAAAGATTAGAGACATAAGAGGTGGTTAACAAACAATAATGTATATTTTATAGAAGGGAAAGAACAAAATAGATACAAAGTACCTGCCAACAAATAACACGTAAGTTGGAAGGAGGTGATCAGAGTTAAAACATTCTAAGTTCTTTGTATTTTTCAGAAGGAAAGTAAACTTATCAATTACCTTTAGACTTTAAAGTACAGACACCATGTCAAATTTCCAAATGTGCGTGTGTGTGCGTGTGTGTGTGTGTGTGTGTGTGAGAGAGAGAGAGAGAGAGAGAGAGAGAGAGAGACACAGAGAGAGAGAGGGGGAGGGAGGGAGAGAGAGAGGGAGAGGGGATGATGAAATGAGGGGAAAAAAATTTCAAGTCAAAAAAGGAATTAAAAAAAAAAGGAAAAGGAAACATATGATAAAATGGTAGAAATATGCCCAAACATATCAGTGATTATAGTAAATGGCCTAAACTTCCAGTTAAAAGACAAAGATTTGTCACACTAGCACAAAAAAAATTAAAGTGAAAAGATAGGGAAAATTACACCATGCAAATACTAACCAAAAAATTTTGTTGGAGATGTCACTAAAGAAAAAGAGTTGCTACATAATGATAACAGAGAGAATTCATCAGTGTCATATGTGACAAAGCCTCAAAATGTAAAAAGGAAAAATTTACAGAACTCTAAGAAAAGACCACCAAGACATCAAATCTCCCATCAGAGTGTGACACTCCAATATCTCTTTTGGTAATAATAAATTTAAGAAACAAGATAGAGACCTGTACAGCAAAACTAAAAACTAGAATTACATGTATAAACATTGCACCCAGCAATGGAAAATACATGTTATTTTCAAGCACACAATGGCCATTTAGAAAAACTTACCAAGCAAAAAACCAAAAAGTTACACTCAAATTTCAAGACTGATCCATACAGACCACATTCTGTAAAATACAATTAAATGTAATACAAAAAGATAACTAGAAAAATTCCATCCATCTGGAAATGTAAAATCATATTTTAACAACCAAAAAGTCAAAGAAGAATCAGAATGGAAATGAGAATACGCTCAGAACCACTCTGGGCGGTCAAGGCAGGAGGATCACTTGAGCTCAGGAGTTCGAGAACAGCCTGTGCTAGAGCAAGACCCCGTCTCCACTAAAAACAGAAACAATTGACCAGGCGTGGTGGTGGGCACCTGTAGTCCCAGCTCTCTGGGAGGCTGAGGCAAGAGGATCCCTTAAGCCCAGGAGTCTGAGGGTGCTGCATACTAGGCTGACGTCACTGTACTCTAATGGCCTGGGCAACAAAATGAGACTGCCTCAAAAAATAAAAATTGAAAACTACAAATAAATAACAATGCTACCTATCAAAACTTGTGGGATGTATTCAAAAACCTATGGAAATAAGTGCTCTGGGATTTTAAAAAAATTTTTTAAAAAAACTTGTGGGATATGTTATGGCTGAAATGTTTACTTCAGAAAGGAAAGAAGGCTCAGTGTTAATGAGCAATCTGACAGTTAATAAAAGGACAGAACAAACACAAAAAGGCTATAATTAGAGGAAAAATTAATAAAATAGGAAACAAACATACAATATAATGGTTCAAAGTAGACAAAATACTTGGAAAAATAATAAAAGACAAAGCTTTGGCAAGATCAAGCAAGAAAATAAAACAAATATTATTAGGATGCAAAAAAAAAAAAAAACCCAAATATGCTATAGAGAGAGTAATATTATGACCTTTTTGCCAATAAATTAAAAATTTAGTTTAAGTGAATAAATTCCTAGAAAAAAAAGACAGAATTACCAAAACTGAGTCATAAATAGTAAAATTAAAGAAATTAAATCAACAGTTTAATAGCTCCCACCCACAAAGAAAACATCAATTCAGAAAGTTTCACAAGTTCTATCAAACATTCAAGGAATAAACAATTTTATACCAACTATTGCGGTATACAGAAAAAAATGATTTTAAAAATGTATACCTACCTGTTTCATTAAATGGTGGTACTTTTTCTACTCTGAGAGACTGTGATCCTTCTCCTTTCTGAACGTTTGTGGAATACAACTTTACTTGACTCAGTATACAAACACACGGAGGACTATACGAAACCATGTTCGAAAAGCTTCCGAATGTCACTGAATTCTGCCATTTAGGAAGAAAAAAAAAATTTAATTTCAAATGAATGCCCAGATGCACAGCTGCCAAGTCACCCCCTCCACTGAAGGTGTTTCACTGACCCCTAGATCATGACAGGAACTACACTTAGTAAAGCAAAAATAAGGACATATTCCTATTTTCTATAATTTGTACATTTATTTATATGAAAACTTTTAAAAATATGAAAAGTCAAATAAAACATTCACATTACTCAGCTGTTTTTTTTTTTTTTTTTTTTTTTTTTGAGACAGAGTCTCTCTTTGTTGCCCAGGCTAGATGAGTGCCATGGCGTCAAGCCTAGCTCACAGCAACCTCAAACTCCTGCTTCAAGCAATCTCCTGCCTCAGCCTCCAAGTAAGCTTGGACCTACAGGCATCTCGCCACATCGCCCGGCTAATTTTGTATATATATAGTGGCCAATTAATTCTTTTCCATTTATAGTAGAGACGGGTCTCGCTCTTGCCTCAGGCTGGTTCGACTCGCTGACCTCGAGCAGCACCCTCGCGCCCGCCTCGGCCTGCCCCAAGAAGCACGGATCTAACAGGTGTGAGCCACCGCGCCGGCCTATCAGCTGTTCTTAAAGGTGTCTGGCACATTAATAGAAACACATTATTTTGTATGCTGATTGCTGCTAATAAAAAAAAAAAAAAAAAGTTGGGATATTACCTTTCAGAATAGAGGACTCTGGAAGGGCAGACCAGGAGGGCTACCTACCCAAAACGATCTGGTGTCCTCCTTCCACTAGCTAGTGCTTCATTCCGCTTTCATTTCACAATCAATAAGTGAATTATATTAATCAGTCATTCATACTGTCACTGATTTTATAAATCAGATAATTAGATCAACATTTGGTGAGATGCCCCAGTATATGGGGATTTTAATTGAGGGGAGAACAGAAGACTAATTACAAAGCACTCCAGCTGCTGCGTCTGGAATGACTGTGGGCTTGGGAGGCTCAAACACAGAAGGAAAACACATTCCAAAACGGCACTCAAGTGGCAGAAAAGCAGATCTGTCTCCACTCTCGTGGTGGCCCTTTTTCTCTTTTATTCTAGACTGTGAGTACTGAGAAGTCCCCTTTCTGAAAGAACTTGGGAAACACTGTCTAGATATAATGCACACAGTTTCTAAAGTTTTAGGTGAAATAATAAAATTATGTCATTACGGACAGTCAAGTTTTTGCAAGACTTAGGGGGCTGAGCATTTAAGGGGAAACTTTTCTAACTGCTTAACAATAATCTTTCAAAAATGTTAATTTGTATATGTGCATGTAAAGATACATGTGCTCTGAAATAAAGAAAAATCTTTTCTCAATGGCTCAGAGAATTCATTAGGAACATAAGTTACTGTGAATTGTTAAAGACAAGCTGAAGAGCTTGAGGAACATAAGAGAACATTAAGTATTCACTCAAGTTTCAGGCTTGGAACTTCTTTTCTTAAAAACTTCCTGATGTCAACATACCTTAATTTATTTGGCAAACTGTTGGAGGCCTAGTACGTTTTTGATCATTTTTGTCTATTTCTTAAAGGCTGAATAAAGCAAGTAAAACAACGGATTTCTGCACATTAAAATATGCAGACTACTAGCAAAATTAATTAGGGAAGCAAGGGTTAAAAGTAGATTCTTCTGAGAAACTCACACTTGAGAAAAAGCATCTTCTTGACTATAGACTGGTGTTCTGACTTTTCAGCCCTATTCAAAGTACCTTTTGTAATTATTACCTAACAAGACGACATGTCCCTAACACTTTTTTCCACATACTGATGAAATACTTTGAGAGTTTGTGCTAAAATGTTTAAAGAGAGATTACTCCACAGTCTAAAAGTCTAAAAATTTTATATTTGTCCAGTTTCTATGCAAAGAGATCCAAAGAAGGTCCTCACACTGTTATTGACTGACATGTCTTTTAAGTCTCTTTAAGCTACACAATGTCTTTTTTTTTTTTTTTTAACTGCAATTTTTATGTCGAAAACACCATGTTGTTTGTCCTGAATTTGTGTCCTGGTAGCTTCCCCCTGTCTGATTTCTGCTGACTTAATTCCCATGATGTTGTTTAACCCATTCTTCTATACGCTCCGTAAATCAATGGATATAAAGGCTTTATCCAAATTCAATTTCTTTTTCTGAGGACAACGCTACTCGTTAAGTGGTGACGAGCTCCTTCATCAGTAATCACACGATATCTGGTTGTCGCTTTATTTGTGGTGATGACGGCTACCGTTGTTCAACGCCTTAGAATTGTTTTTTTCACTAGGTGGTGACAAAATGGCAATATTCTAATTTTAAATAAAAAGAAAAAAAATTCTCTGCCAGCTTCCTTTTAAAAAAAAATAAATAAATAAAAAGAAATATTCTAATTTTATCCCTCCTTCATTTATTAGTCAGAGTACTTCTACAAAGGGAAAATCCCCTTCATTTATTTGGTCACCCCGAAGGACAGTTCATGCAGGAAAGTTAGGCTAAATGCTTCTCCCCCACCCCCCCTTTTTTTTTTTAACAATTCTCAAAATACTAAGTTGATTACCCACCATCCTGCAGTGGTTACACATTTTTGTGTATCATTACAATTTCACAGATTTAAACATTATTCGATATATTCAATCCATTTTTGTCTTATCTTGATTAATGCTCAAACTGTCCCACTTGGGGCCAGTAGAGGTCTCTTCAAATTGTCTCCTAAGTCCTTTTGACATTATTCTACTTATCTTTGAACTTCCTTGTTAGGTGTTTTAAGAAGTCCTTAATTTTTAACTTCATTGGAATTTCAGGTATCAGCAATTTTATTAATTAGCACCACGCTCTAACCAACTGAGCTAACCAGTCACTCACGTCAGCAACTTTAAAAGTACACATTTGGCATTAATACAGGATCGAAAACTGCACATATACTACATTACCACCTTTAACACTTTATATTTTAAAAACAATACTGGACCACATCTGGCTCAATAATACAAATATAATATCTAACGCACAGCACTAGAAACATAACTGTTCATTAAAGAATTATTGAATTTGTTAATTCTGATAAGCAAAAAGATAGTAAAAAAAAAAAATATATTACCCACCATTATACCCTTTCTTCACGGTGATTTCTAAAGTAATCTACAGACGGAAGATTAGTCTTTACTTTAGCACTTACCGTTCTACCAGCCTGACCAAGAACTTTCTTGCCACTGTATGTAAAGGGCTGTTTCTTCATCAAGAATGCAGAGCTACTGGTACTATATCCTATCATCCGTCTAGCCAAACAACCACACTTCTCTGTTTTTATTTTACTGATATCACACCTGTAGCTCTGAATTACCAATGCTACTGATCCCCACTTGTCCTCTCTCCAAGCTGGACTGTCACCTACTACTTACTCTGGCTTTCAGAGAAAATCCGGCGCTTTTTTTAGACTACGAACAACAAAAAAGAAACTCCTTTTCTTTCAATGCAAACTGAAAATCCAGTCTACTGTATGTGTTGCTTCTGCAACAATTAAAAACAAAGAAAAAGATTTCTTCCAGTGTGAATTTATTTGCGGCTAGTTTCAGGACAAGCTTGGGGCCTAGGTCTTACAGTCTAGGTCTTTAAGTAAGGTCTCCTTACTTAAAAGACTATTTCAGCAGTTTTTCCCAAAAATCAAGTAACTGTTACACTTATTTTTTAAAAAGTTACTGTGAATTTGAAATACACAATAATACAGAATGCAAAGACAATTATCCTTCATGGTATCACCTATCACGAGACAAACCAGAAACAACTTAAAGGTCCCCTAATAGAAGAATGATTAAGTTATGGCGGGTCCCCGTATTTTTATTATGTATTCATTAAAAAATTTTCATAACAAGGAAAAATACTCATGTTATAATGATGCATGAATAAAAGTAGGAGATTAATACAGTATGATTTCAACTATTAAAAATGTGACTGGTGAAATATCTGGATTATTTATAATTTTTTTATATATTTTAACTTTATACCTTATACTCTTCTCTATTAAAAAATGCCTACAACTCCAGGCACCGTGGCGCATGCCTGTAGTCCCAGCTACTCAGGAGGCTGAGGCAGGAGGATCACTTGAGCCCAGGAGTTTGAGGTTGCTGTGAGCTATGACAGTCCCACTGCACTCCAGCCAGGGTGACAGAGCAAGACCTTGTCTCGAATGAATGAATTAATTAATTAATACATGCCTACAATAAAAACAGAAACTAAAACTATATCCATTGATAAATTACCTGGGACTTCATCAAGGTCTTATTAACATCATTAGCACAACTTGTAATATAGTCTAATATTAATACATTAACTATTTCTACTTTATTTTAATCCTTTGAGCTAGCCAAAACTGCAGGAAAGTCTCTTAACTCAAATCATCTAGCAAACAACTCAAAATTAGATACATGGCTCTCATATTTCTTCTGGGCAGTGGTGTTCTAGAATATCTTCCTTTTTTGCCCTTAAAAGTGTTTCTCATTTTTAAGTATTCAAGCAATCCTTCAAGGTTTCTTCTTCTCCTTATTCTTTGTAAGTTTTTCCCAGGCACACAGCTATTTAAACTAAACTGTATTTCTTGACACAGAAAAACATCAAAACACATGATTTCCTTCCCTCCAAAAATTCTTCAAATAGTCTTTTCTTCTTACATGCATCCAACTTATTTTTCTAAATAATTTTTAAATTTCACATTATGGTTGGCCCTTCAAAAAATATTTCAGTATTATTGAAACAAAATTTTCACAAACAGGTTATTTTTAAATCCTACTGTTTTTTAAGTATGAAAACATTTTAATGTTTTTGTAGTAATAAACGTCCCAAAGAACTTTACGAAGTCATTCTGACTAGTGAGATAGGTAATTATCTGTGTTTCACAGACAGCTGAGACAAAGAGTATATGATTTTCAACATGATGACAACTACAGAAAATAGAGACTACAAATTACACTATTTCGACTCCTTTTTATCAACACTTAAAGAAGGGCAGTTTAGGTTAAATTTAACAGCCACTTCAATTTCAGTGTAAAAATGCCGAAATTGCTTAGTCAATAGAAGCAATTATGTCAGAAACTTAACTTGAGGATTTCTGGAGTATGGTAAAAGCAGATGACTCATTTTGTTTGTAAGGGGATCAGGTAGGTGTACTGTCGATATGGGAAAACTCAACTTATGCTTTTTTACATTGCTATCAGAAAGCCCTGAGAACAGTGCTGTTAAAAATTAATCCGTTTGAAATTTTAAGAGCCAGTTTTTACACTTATTGCAAATTCGATTTTACTCTATTTGCACCGCACAGTAGTTACCATAGCTTATATGCTACAAAAAAAAAAAAAAAATCTTGAATGGCTGCAACTTCCGACTTCTACTGGGAGGTCACGAACACGCTACAAGTTTTTTAAAAACACGAATTTCTGAGAAATGTTCTTTAACATTTCTGTAAACATTCTCTGCACCGAGAAAGAACCAGAGTTAAAAACTAAGGGTAGATTTAACTCTTGCCTCCTCGGGATTAGGACTCCAATGTTGGTCTGGAAACTCCAAGAAATCTGAAATTTGAATCAGGAAGAAGAATGCTGACGGGAGAGGGATGAAAATTCTAGACAACTACCTTTTTTCTAGGTCACACTGGCAGTTGACACCTTCTCAACTAAAAGGAAACTCAAGAGCTCTTTTGTTTTCCGGCCCCAAACTGGTCCAAGATGTAAAAATGATGAGAAAGGGAGGCATCCCCCCTTTCCCTTTAGGAAATTTAAGGAAACAAGTTGGGAGGATGAGGGGAAAAAAAAAAAAAAACGAGCAGGGGCCAGGAAATCTCGACCAAAACAGATCAATGAAGGGGAGTCGGTGAGCGCAGAAACCTGGCGGCGTCCGCAGCTTCTCCCCCGCCCGCCCAGGTGAGTCCCCGCCGGACGCGGCGACGCGCAGGTAACACCTGGGTGCCAGGTGGGCGGCTCCGGGGCTGCAGGTAACACCTGGGTGCCAGGTGGGCGCCCGCGGGAGACCCCCACAAGCCCGCGGGGGGCCGTGTCGGGGGAGAGACCTGCAAGGACCGGGCAGGACGGGCCGCAGAGGCCCGAAAGGAGGTTCGCGGGATCAGCAAGGGCAAGCGGACGAGCCTCCCCGGGCCCGCCTCAGCCCCCCGGTGCCGGCGACCGGCGCGGACACTCACCGCGGCGGTCCCCGGCGGCCCTGCAGCGCACACGGAGCCGGCACAGCGAGGCCCAGCCGCCTCTGTGGGTCGCGGCGGCGGCCAAGCCCGGCCACATCCTGGCGGGGCAGAGGCCCCCACTCGAGCGCCGCCTCCTGCCTCCGCGCCGCCCCCGGCACCAGCTGACTCCATAGACCGGGCCCCGGCGAGAGTAGCTGCCTGCGCCGCCGCCAGCGGCCTCCGCGACCCGGAAACGGCGACGTCACTCCTCAGCGCCGCCCGCGGGGGCGGGGAGCGGAAATGACGCCGCCACGCGCCGCGCCCGGATAGCGAGATCCCGCCGCCGGCGGGGTGGGCAGCGGGGTGACGTCACGCGCCGCGCCCGGACAGCGAGATCCCGTCGCCAGCGGAAATGGCGTAACGTGCTGAGCCGGAAGAGCGAGATCCTGCCGCCCCTGCCAGAGCCGGAGCTGCACAGGGAGGGCGTGGCTGTGATGGAGTCCGTTGTCGTCCTGTCTGCTCTGGCACTTAGGCCCTTTGCGCTTGCTTGGAAGTCACAGCGTCGCCTGTGTGCGTGCGCCGGAGCAGGGCAGCCCTGGGGGACGCGACAGCCTCTACATGGGCTGTGCCCACCTTCCTTCTTCCGGCCGCGAGGCCGGCGATGGGGGACGGGTGGGAGGAAGGACGCGGGTCTCCTGAGCCGCCCGCCCGCAGCCTTCCCGGGTAGTCCCCAGCGGAGGCGAGAGCCCTCAGTGCCCTCCGAACCGCCATCTGTCTCGGTGACGCCGTCCTGGTCTCATCTCTGTGTGGCCAGGACCGCGAAGGCAAGTCCACACTGTGAAATCAAGGACTTGCCCCACTCATCCCTCAACGTCAGATTCTCCTCTGTATTATGGTCAAATAAGAGGTTTTGGTGTTTTTGTTTTTTTTTTTTTTGAGACATAAGTCTCACTTTGTTGCCCAGGCTAGAGTGAGTGCTGTGGCATCAGCCTAGCTCACAGCAACCTCACACTCTTGGCCTCAAGCGATCCTCCTGCCTCAGCCTCCCGAGTAGCATGAGCCACCATGCCCGGCTAATTTTTTCTATATATATTTTTAGTTGGCCAATTAATTTCTTTCTATTTTTAGTAGAGACGGGGGTCTCGCTCTTGCTCAGGCTGGTGAGTGATCCTCCAGCCTTGGCCTCCCAGAGTGCCAGGATTACGGGCGTGAGCCACCGCGCCCGGCCTCAGAGGTGTTTTAATGTTCAGGATAATGTCAGGGTAAAGGGAGGTGTGGAGACTGGGACAGTCTGGTCCCGGGGAGAGAGAACCCGGAGCAATACACGGACCTGGATGGCTAGATGGTCCAGGCGTCCTCCAACTATGGCCTGAAAATTGAAAGAAAAGAACACCACGGTCTCTGCAGAAAACCTTCATCTGCCCCAGGAGTCCTCAAACTACAGCCCACGGGCCACACGCAGGTGTTTTTTTGCCCATGTTGTTTAAAGATATGTGCGTGTGCATAGGAATTTGTTCATAGTTTTTTTTTTTTTAAACTATAGTCCGGCCCTCCAATGGTCTGAGGGACAGTGAACTGGCCCCCTGTTTATAAAGCTTGAGGACGCCTGGTAGCCTCATGCTCCCAGGCTACACACCTGTACAGCATGTCGCTGTACCGAACACCGTGGGCAAGTGTAACACAAGGATCCAAACACGTAAACACAGGAAAGGTGCACTGAAAGTATGGTGTAAAAGTAAGAAATGGTACCCCAGGAAGGGGCACTTACATGAATGGAGATTTCGGGACTGGAAGTTGCTCTGCGTGAGTAGTGAGCGAAGGCCTGGGACGTTACTGAACACTGCTGTAGACTTCATAGACACTGTACACCTAGACTACACTAAATTTAAAAGAAAAAGTTTTTCTTTAATAATAAATTAACCTCAGCTTATTGTAACTTTTTGTAAACGTTCAAGCTCTTTTGTAATAACATTTAGCTTAGAACACGTTGTACAGCCGTACAAAATGTTTTCTTTCTTTATATGCTTAGTCTATATGCTTTCTTCTATTTTTAAATATTTTTAAAATTTATTTTTACTTTTTAAACTTTTTCGTTAAAAACGAAGACTCAAACACACAGGGTCAGGATCATCGATATCACTCTCTTCCACCTCCACATCTTGTCTCACTGAAAGGACTTCAGGGACAGTAACAAGCGCTCATCTCCTGTGATAACAATGCTTCCGGAACATCTGAGGAACCTTCTTGAGGTGGAATTAGGTTATTAAGTATGAAATGTCCGCTTGCTTTTTTTTTTTTTTTTTTTTTTTTTTAAAGTACTAAGTTGTACAGTCGATATCTCTAACTTTTCACTTTGACACTTCTTGTTTTATGTTTACCGTGAAGGCACATCCTCAGTCTTTCAAACGCACGTTTTGGCTTGTGATTATCTTTCAAATTTGTTTCTAGAATAATTTTTGTGAGACCATGGATCAGTCAAAAATTCGTGTTATTTTCGAACATGAGTTCCATTGTGGAACCAGCGCAGTGCAGACAGCTTGAAATATCAATGAAGTGTTTGGGAAGGATGGATGGTTTGAGAAGTTCCGTTCTGGTGATTTTAATCTTGAAAATGAGCCGCCATGTGGGCAACCTGAGACCAAAGTGGGTAATTATGAGCCGAAAGCTGTAGTGGAAGTGAATCCATGTTAGCCTACGCATGAATTAGCAGCAAGGTTTGACTTTTGGACCATTTGAAACAAATTGGCAAGGAAAAGAAGCTAGATAGATGGGCTCCACGTGAATTAAATGAGCGTCAGAAGAGAATCCTCTCGAAGTTGGGCTTTCTCTGCTGTCACAGCATAAAGGTGAACCACTCCTACACCTACATATTGTTAAGTGTGATGAAAAATGGATTCTTTTTGACCATTACAAGTGTTTGGCACGATGCTTAGATAAAGATGAAGTGCCAAAATATAGTCCCCAACCGAATATTCATAAAAAAAAAAAAAAGCTAAGGGTGTCTGTCTGGCAGTCCGGAGCTGGTGTTATCCGCTACAGCTTCATGCAACTTGGTCTACTGATGATAGCAGCGATGTCTGCCGCAACCAGTTGGATGAAATAATGAGGATGGCTTATGACTGAGCAGCCGAGACCGGTCCACAGAGACAGGCCAAGCCTCTTGCAAGACAACTCTTGACCACAGGTCACGCAAACACCACCACTCAAGTTACAGAAGCTGGACTTGGAAACTTGCTGTCATCCGCTGACCTTGCGCCAACTGACCACCACTTCTTCCAGGCTTTGGGCCACTTCTTGCAAGGAAAAATACTCAATTCTCAATCAGCTTTGGAAAACACCTTTCGCAATTTCATCACTACTGGCTCTCCAGGCTTCTTCACTGCTGGCATAAACGAGCTATCATTAAGATGGCAAAACTGTTGGTAGTTTAGGCACATACTTTGATTAACTGTACTGCTCCTTGTTTGAGATATAATTATTGATTTGAAATCGGACATTTCATATTTAATGACCTACTATAATTTTTCTTAGTATACTTTAAAATAATGATTTACTTTATGTGCTTGTATCAAAACATCGCATGAACCCTATAAAAATATACAACTCATATGTACCCATATAAAAACTAAAATTTTTTTTTAGTAAATGCATATATCAGTAACATAGTATCACGTGTTGCACATAATATACTTTTCTTTAAAAAAAAAGTCTCTCACCTAGAGTGCAGTGACATCATCATAGCTCACAGCAACCTCAAACTCCTGGGCTCAAGGGATCCTCCTGCCTCAGCCTCCCGAGTAGCTGGGACTACAGGCATGTGCCACCATGCCCACCAGGATAATTCAGGCTGGTCTCAAACTCCTGACCTCAAGTGATCCTCCTGTGTCAGCCTGCCTGAGTGCTAGGATTACAGGCGTGAGCCACCTCACGGAGCCCATAATATACTTTTATATGACTGGCAGCACGGTAGGCTGGCACCAGCATCACCACAAACATTTGAGCAATGCATTGTGATACAACCTTGGGAGGGCTACATGTCACTAGAGGATACGAATTCTTCAGCTTCATTATAGTCTGAGAGAACCACCGACATACATGCGGTCTGTTGTTGACCAAAACTTGGCGCATAACCATAGTGCCTTCCGATGATGATGGTCTTACCTCCACTGCTTCCTAGGCGCCTCGCTTAGGATGAGAATCAAATCACTCCAAAATTCTGATACATTCCCTAATGAAGATAGCATTATAGTTCTGGGCCATGTTCTCAGCTCATTATAGGTACATTTAGTTTTGAGCATTTCATAAGACTATGTTTCCATCCTTCTTATGTATTCATTTGGGATAGTTTAGAAACAGCATGTTTGGAGAGGGCTTTTAATCATTCACTGATTTTGGAGATGTACTTCTGGAGAGGGCTCTTACAGTTAGAGGTGGATGTGATTTTTGCTAATAGCACTTTTGCTTTCTGTCCCTTGCATAAGCCCTGGAATTATGAGTAAAAAAATTCAACTGCTGATACAAGGCTTTGTATTTTAATGAGAGAAAAAGAAAAACATGCTGTAAACAGGTCCGAAACTTCTCATTTGCCTTCGGAAGGTATTGACTTAAAATATGGTGACACAAATTTTAACCAACCCTGACTCACCAAGGATGGCCTTGAGGGAAGTTCTTTAAGTTCCAAGAGTCTCAGAACCTCAAAAGATAAAATAAGAAGCATAATATAATGTAAAATGTAGCTATTTATTTGTGCAAATCTTTACATTGTACAAATACTTTCAAATACACTACCTCAAATAATCCTCTGCTGGCCATATTCTATAAATGAAGAAATTGAATTGAGGCCCAAGCAAACTAAGAATGTTCAAAGACTGGAACCACTATTTGTGGACTTCTTGACATTACTCCTGAAAATGTTTTGACATTTGAGCTGCCAAGCTGGATCCAGTGTGATTGGCACACTTAAGTTTTTAAAATTTGAATGCCTTTAGTCGGCTCACATGCTTTCCAGCTCAGTCCAGTCTTCCCACTACTACTAATAGTTCCATCACTGGCCAATTCACCTGTTTTTGTTAGGGCCTCTAAGTACATTTGTGTGTGTGACATTATCCTGAGTTAATTTTCCTTGGGTATTACTATTTTGTAGTTGAAAACTTTAGGGTCTAAGCTATCTGTTTCTTAAGAGGCTTGATCAACATTCAATAGCAATTAAAAAAAAAAATTCCTCAAGATTCTACGTGTCTTTGCACCGTGGTGTACATGACCAGATTTACTAAGAAGTTAGTGATAACCCAAACTTGTTTGGTACTCTTCAAAAAGGCTTTTGGTATGTTCTATTTCATGGTGAAACTAAAAACTGAAAATGTAGGGGATGAGCTAGACGGTAAGTTTAAAATTATATGTAGAAATGAAGCCAAAATGAATAAATTAACCAGTGTTAATTTCCACTGACGTCTGTGGTAATGTATTGTTTCAAGGCAAAAAAAAAATAAAATAAAATAAGAGTGTTTGGTATACAGGTTACACATTTTTTTTTCCCTTGGGATGAGTTAGGAGATCCACTTATAAGAGAACTATGATTGATAGCCAAAAAGGTGTTTACAAGAGAAGAATGTCTCGTATCCTTGCTCAAAACTTTAAAGACATATGTAAGAGTTCCTAATACCACCCTTCTGAAGCTTGACAAACAGCAAATGTGTGGAGGCATCTCCTAAGTCCCGAATTATTTATTCTACACATTTTAAAAAAGAATCATCATCTGAATAGTCAAATTACGATGGTATCCCAAAGAAAATCCATGGGCTGCTGTTTTCTGAGACAGTCACATATAATATAAAATGCCCGTTTCACTCAGTGAACATGATCTGAATTATCAGTCCGAAATTCTCACTGACTTGGTTAAAATCATGAAAAATAATCCCTTTTTAACCTTGATTAGATGGTTTAGTGTAAAAACCAACGGGAAATAAAAGCAAGAGTCAGCCCGTTTCCTCCCCCGTCGATTTTTTATTACATGCAAAATGAGACCCACTAGAATTATTATATTTTTCAGAAAAACTGCCACTAGGGGGCAGTTTGCTTATAATTAAAATAAGTTACTAATGTTTTAACATTTGAGAATCTGGTAATTACCAGTATAGAGAAAACACTTAAAGAATAATTTTACAAACCTGCTTCAAGGTTATTTGATCATTTTAATGTCAAAGACTTAAAAGATACTGATGTTACTGAAAGCATATTATTAATAGTATATATTAATATACAGTTAAAATACAGTGGCCACAAAACAATTTTAGAGCTAGTGAACATAAATACCTGGATAGAGTTGTAACAAGTCTACTTAAAGATCTTTTGACTTTGCCACAATATTAAAAGGCAAAAAACCAAAAACCCTCTGGTAGGTTATTAGAACAGATGTTTACTTTGAAAAAAATATTTTATTCCTAACAATATACTCATATAATTAAAAACATAACTAAAAATATAAAAGGGCCTAAATTGAAATATTTTCCTTAAAACTAACTGTTCTATTTTTGTAAGAAATGTTTCTTTTGATTTTATTTTGAAATTGAGGACTGTCCTCAGGGAAAGGAAATAAAGTTCATATAGAAAACATTAATTCAAAATAAGCCAAATAGTACAATGGCTCAAAAGGAAATTAGGTTTCTAGATGAAGTGGTTTAAAACAATAATTTTTAAACACTTCAAAAGATGAACTACATGCTTTGAATATTACTAAACTGAAATGCCAGACATGAACCTGATAATTCATAGTATCAAGAACCACTATTTCAGACTAGAGAAACCTAAGTATCCGATAGTATGAGTTAATGATAGAAAAAGATAAATAACCCATTTTATTCTGGGTCACTGCATGTTGACTTGAGTTTTTGGTCTGGTACTTAAAATGGTCTATTACTAGTCCATCGCTAGTTAATACTGGTTATAAAGCTACAAATTTGAAGGATTTAAAGAAAAATACTACAAATTACTGAATATTTCCTAAGAGGATATAAATTTAAAATTGTGATTAAATTCACCTAAATCCTATAATCTATTTCATATCCATTAATAGTAGTATTTATTTTAAAGGTAATTTAATTAAGACAATGGTCCCAATATTAAATCTATCTTAATTTAGTGGCAGAGCCTCAAATTATTAATCCCCCTTCTTTGGTTAACAGGGCTCTCTCCCTTTGCAGAACTGAACCGCCCCTAATCTGTTTTTGGTGAGACTGACAATCAAAATCACACATTTGCATGCTTTTAAGGAAAAATAGTTAAATACACCATCTGTTTTTAGGAGGGAGAGAAGAAAGAGTGGAGAGGCAAAATCTCCTTTTGTATCAGCTCCCTAGGAAGTGTGGAGGTTTTGATCTGTCTTCCTCTGAGGGCAGCAATATAGTGGGAGACGTCTTCCCTTTACAAACAAAATGCTAGAATTTCCCCTCCCTTCATAACCTATTTATTGTTATGAAATCATGTAAGCCTCTTCATATCAGGGCATTTCATACCTTAGTCATTTCTAGTCATCCAGCCTGAAAGACCTATGTTAATTATTTTTTTATCTTGATCTTAAAAAGGATCTTTATGTTTTAGAGATACATAATGAAAATTTTACAGGTGATATAACATGAAATACACAAACCAGGAAAGGAGAAAGTGAATGGGGTGAGGATAGGGCATGGTGGGCCCCAGTCAGAGATTGTGAGGGCTGGGTGATAATATGGAAGTTCATTACACTATTCTATTTTTATGCATGTGCAAAATTTACTACAATAAATTTTTAAAAAGACCTTGGTTGACAAGTCACCTGCTTAGACGGACAGTTCAAGATTCTCAGTGTACCACTTCCTTGAGAAGTCTCTTCATTCAACTAGCCTCAAGGAATGAAATATTTTTCCCTTCCCAAAGCTCAGAATTTTATAAACAGCTCCAAATATTTCTACATGCTGAAGGACTGAGCATTATTAATCAATGTTTATGTCCCTAAGACCAGACTCCACACCATTAACTCTTTAGGAAATCAATTTTCCTAACACTCTTTTTAATTGGGTTACCGCTTTTCCCCTTATGTGGTCATTTACTGATTAATTCAATATTTATTCACCTACCAGAACTGCTTTTAAACAAGTGATTTCCATAATGCCTCTTGGATTATAATCTCCAAGTGGACAAGGATTTATTTAACTTGCTTTGTACAGTGTATTGCCTAGTACCAGTTGTTAAATTGCCACAGAAAATACGTGCCAATTCTGAACACCTAGAAGGGAAATATATTCCTCTATGTTATCCTGTGTTGACTGATGATTTTGGATATACTGCATATTGTGAATCATTTTAGAGTTATAAATAACTCATCCACTAGGCTATAAATTTCACTAGATAAAAAAGTACAGAGGCAAGCACACAGCTGAGACATCCAATGTAATTCTTTTCTTTTTTTCCAGTTAACACCTTAGACCACATTATTCCCAGTTTCACATCAGACCTCAAAAATCACAGCATTTCTATTATTTGTGATAGGCTAAAGACAGTAGAAGTGTATCCAAATTCACCTTATTCTAGTAATAAGGCATTTAAGCTCCAAGGAAAGCTGAATTCTAACTGTAGGTGTTCTTTTGCAAGGTAACATTTTAAAATCTGCTTAAATCCAGAGAGATTTTTATTCCACAATTTGATTTTTACATCAATAAAATCTTGGATATAACAATACAGACGAAGAAACAATTTAATTTGTATTGAAATAAATATTAGACATACAAAGCACAAACAGTGAAAAAGGGTCACAATGAATTACAAGTAGAGACATTATTTTGCTCAATCACCAAAGAAAGCCCTTGATACTTCCAATTTCACACCATTTAATTTATCATTCTTGCTGATTTAAGCAGAACACAAAACAAATATGGACCCCAGGGCTCACTTGCACAGGTACCAGCATGGATAATTTACTACAGTGATGCAATTTGGAAATCAGGAGGGACCAGTAAATCGGTGCATGGAAGAAAGAGCGAATGGGGCCCTTTTTCCTCAGTGTCAGCAGGCTGTGATGATTATGTTTATTAGATTTCCTTGAAAGGACTTCACATTTTCTCAAATATGCAGGAGAACTGCATTTCCCCTCTGAGCCCTACATTAACATTTATGTGCTTTGGTCTTGAATACAGGGGGAATGATGAATTTTTCAATTTATTTTATAAATTTATACATTCTATATAGTATTGGCCTAAAGAATTTTAACTCCCTAACCTGGACAATATTAGATATTAAAAATCGATTCAAGAAAAGTTACTAAGAAATGCTGACACACTATATATATACACAAATTTTTTGTTCAATATATCCTATTATATAAAGCACCAGAAGTAATGCATTTATAAATCAAGCAGTTTCTGACTGTTTCTAATCTCTGCAGTCCTTGTACATTTGTTCCAATATATACAATCATAAATGTTACCTGTCAAAGACTCTACCCATTTGGTCTCAACTTACAAATAGGTATGCAGGCAAAAATTAACATCAAAAGGAATTGTTCTATCTTAAAGTTACAAAGGAAAATAGTAAAAGTTTGGAATTAAACTGTCATGAACAAGAAAAAAAAGGTTAGTTTCAAAGTGCTGAGCCTATCAAAAAAGTAGTTTCAGATGGCTAATACAGGAAAAAATGAAATGATTCTTAGGCCCTTCTTTCTCTTGGAATGAGTTAATTGTTAGATTCCCACAAAGATATCCACTTATAATTTTTCCCTGTTGTTTTCTAAGAAAGGAATCTGCTTTAGATTTTTAAAAAATACTGTACTTCATTTCTCGTCACCTCAACTCACGCTCAGTGCAGGTCAGATTTCCTATACGTACAAGAAGAGAAAGACTATACAGGTAATCTTACACACAGGAATATGTTCCTTCTAAAGAACTCACCTGAGTACCACTTTAGAACCAGGACACCTCTCAAACTTTCCTGGGGGGCTCCTTTCTTATCTTCAGTACCAGACCCCAAAGCTTTCTAACCTAAATGTAAGAAGACTGCTCATGAAAACAGTCTCTGGAGGTAACTCCTGGGTCTATGCAGGTGTGCCTTTGGAATCCCACCTGTTGGACGGCAGCACTCATAAAGCCTCTGTGGGACTGCCCTGACCCTAGAGAACCCCAACGAGGTCTCAAGAGAAACCAGCTGTCTATGGAACCCAAACTTAATTTTCAAATCTAGGTACCATTCCTGATACAATATCCCAAAATTTCAGTATGCTTTTATATGACTGTGCAGAGTCTGCATTTTAAAAGAGGTTAAGCTGGCTGTATATAGTGTTATCTACAAAATGACGATGAAAAAATTTTAAGTATCATTTTTCTATACATCTGAAAATGAAGGAGAAAGAATAATTGTATATTGGTGTGTTCAGGTGATTTAGGCACTCACTCAGTATGGAAAGAAAAAAACAGGAGAGACCGTGATCTGAATGACACCACTCCCAATGTGTCCTATTTTACTGTTTTCCTAGAAAGCATACGTTGACGGAGTACTTCTTGTGAACGTTTCAGTATTTAAAAAGTGTACTCACAGCAAATACTTACTAAATATTCGTTCAGTATTGAGTGATCACACATGTAAAAGGGTCACGAAGTTCAGATCCTTAGCTTTATGGCTGACACAGCACTCTCCGTGGCATTTAAGCTTCCGGCACAGCGTGTGGAATTGGGGGGCTGCCTGAGCAAAGAGAGCCACCTGCTGATGATCAGCACAACTGTCTGGGGCTTCTTTCTCCCCCGAGGCTTCCGTTCCTGACCAAGTACCAAAATTAGTCTAATTTGGATGACGGCTTTGAGGATAGCAGATTCTAAGGAGATTTAGGGTTGGGTAGAGGTGTTATTAATAGGATAACTATATTAAAGTAAATTCCTTAGCATTAAGTTAAGGGTCTTTACCTCAATCCCTAAAAATTATTCATTCTGATCTAAAATCTTAAAAAAAAAAAAATATCCTTTCAGTTCTTATTAGAATACATATATACTCATTTTCCTTTCTGGAATAAATAATATTCAGGTCCTAAATGTACAAACTTCATCTGAATTTCTTTCTCAATCTTTAGGAAGAAGTATTGATAGCCTTGCAGTTCTTAGTTATGTAACAGAACCCATTAATCTTTCATAACTTCTAGTTTAATATTAGCTTCCCTCTGTAAGGGATATTCTTAAATATACAATTTTTTTTTTTTTTTTTAAGCTAGCTTTCTTGCCTGCTTTCTTCCAGGGGCATCTGCCTCGGCACATTTTATTCTAAGAAAATTTAAATGCAGACTGTATTTAACTAAGTTCTCCCTAGACTGATGTTAAATAGAGTTTAAATTAATAAGGAATCAGGTATGCAAAAGGAAAATAGAATCCTTGCTAGAATAAAATGGGTTTTGTATGAGACTTCTACTTGTTCAAGAGGGTTTAATATTTAAAAGTACCAGAATAACAATGGCACTATACCACTTCCTGAAAAATTATATATTCTGGATGTTAAATCAACTTCTTTTAAACCTGTAAGTAAAAACAAGATCAACTATGCAGTAAGAGTTACCTTATCCTACTACATTCATTCTATATACTGTTATTGTATTTCCTTAATTTTGATAGGTATACATGTAACACTATAATTTCAGATGCCAAATCAGCTGGTTGCAAATATTCATACTGCAGAATTTGTAACAAGTTCATGCAAACTAGACAGCTAGAAATGCTCAAATTGTAAAATTTACTTTTTCATGAGTTTAAGAGTATTTTATTTATATATTAAGCCTTCCTTTAAGAAACAAATCTATACTTTCAAACACGAGCATATCAGAAATATAATCCTGCTGTGTGATAAAAAACCTTGATTTAAAGCAGAATGTTTTATATTGTAGTAATTTTAATGTTAAAATTATTTTTGTTAAAACCAACATGAATTATTTTCTTTAGGGAAATCTCTTTGACTAAGAGTAATTTGCAAAATAAAGAGGAAAATCTCAAACCAGAAACACACTTACGTAGATCTTTAAAAGTAAAAGACAATCATGGTAAAAACAGAGCACACAAAAAGAAAATAAAAAATGGAAAAACTGGTAAAATTCAAATAAGCTTTGTACTTTAGTTATAGGCTTAATTTCTTACTTTGCATAAATATTCCATAGTTATGTAAGATGTTAACTTAAGAGGAAGCTGAATAAAAGATATAAAAAAACTATTATTTTTGAAACTCTTCTGTAAATGTAAAAGATAAAAATTGTAGAAAAAACACCCTAATAACTTTAAAACAAATAAGCCTTCAGCTGCCAAAATTTCCCGCTATAATTCAAGACTCAATTCTTAAAAACATAATTAGAAATCAGTAGTACATTTACTTAACATTACAGTCACTTTATTGCTCTAGAAAGTTGACATAATGAGGTTAGCCACACACACACAAAATCAACTGCATATCATGAGGCTGCTTCTCCAACCTAGTGGATAAATATTACAAAAATACAAAAATAGTTGGTTCTAGTTAAGGTATGAAGTAGAATTTTTCTTGTAATCTATCCTAAGAATATCATCTTTTTATAGATTAGAAATTTGAACAAAAAGAAAACTGATGTTATTGGTAAGTCACTAATGAATGTATTTGAGAAATCCAAATTACATGCAGACAGAAGAAAATTGGTTACAAAATCATTGCATTACTCTATACCAAAATTGTGCAATTTTTAAACATTTCCAATCATGCAACAGTAATGAGGACCAGAATGGATTTCGTAAGAGTTGATGGGAGCTCAATGAACGGGATCTAACACCTTACACAACCCAAATCACAGTTGCATAATACATCCAATTCCCCCAAATTTATGTATGCATTACAAGAGTGAAATGCACACTACTGCCCCACAGCTCCTCCCCCATCCCATTCCCAGTCAGTTACCTTACCTATAAACCTTTCCAATTACATTTTTAAATCAGATTTCATGGATAAATATGTAATCTACAGGATACTCTTCATTATTGTTTCAGAACAGACACAAATATAGTCAGATGCTCAATCTTCATTTACATTCCTTTCAAACGGCATCTGAACTGCTGCAATTGTCTATGAAAATTCAAGCCTAGGAAACCGAGAAAATTGGCAGTCAACAATCTGAACGAGGTAATGCTAGAAACTATAATAATTTATGTGTCCACATTTTTGTCAAGGAAGGATTTCCTATTTGAGAAATGTTACTCAATGGGTCTACGAAAGGAAAGCTGTGTTACTATTTTCTGTTATAAAATGGTTAGATGACCTCAAATGTATTTATCCAATCGGATAAAGGCTTACAAGTTGAGCCTTTTAAAAAATACTCAAAGCCACAGAAGTACTCATGGATATAAAGTTTTAGGTCATAGCAAATGATGCATATAGAATTCCTCTTATAATGGTACATCCAAAATAAACCTGTCCTAACAAAGCAGCACAAAATCAATTCAATAACAATTTGAGGTGAAATACAGTGGGAAGTGCTTCTGTTTAAATCACTAACCAAAATTACTAAAAGGAAGAATACTGTCTCAAAATTTACTGAATTCTCCTATGTTAATATTACCATAACAAACTCATGCCAAATATAAATTCAGGTTACTAACTAGGCTTAAACAAATCTTAGAGCTAATTTTTACTAGAGAAATGAATGTATTTCATGATATAGGCACGACAGCATCTTTTAAAAAAATGTGGTACATTTATCACTAGATAACAAACTTCCTTAACCATTAGCAACACAGCATAGAAAAATTTACTGGTAACTTTTTAAGCTTGATTTAACATGCCAGGAAAATGATTATTTTTCCACTGAGATGCATTTATGTGAATTATGTAAATTGGATTGAGGTCAGTAGAACACCTGGAATGTACAACCCCTAGCAGAAGTACCAGCTGCTAACAATGCTTATATTATATGTATGGCCCAGCCGGATGCTAGACTACGCAACTGTTGGTGCCAATCTGCTTATAAAGGCTATGCTCTGGAGGCAGAGTCTTCTCACGAACAGCGGGCAAGCAGGTTTCATTATTACATGTTCAACAACAATCCTCAGTTCATTGAACAACGTCCTGCAAGGTAAGAGAGTTTTCTGTCAGAAACACGAGGAAAAAGCAACACACGAGCATACCTTGTCTTACGGCACTTCTCTTTATTGCACTCCACAGATACTGCATTTATTTTATTTTATTTTATTTTTTTAACAAATTGAAGGTTTATGGCAACCCCGAGTGAGGCAAGACTACGACAAGCACCACTTCTCCAGCAGCACGTGCTCCTTTCACGCCTGTGTCACACTTTGGTGATTCTCACCGCACTTCAAACGTTTTCATTACTATTGTATCTGTTATGGTGCTCTGTGGTCCTAAAAAATGAATGCATAATATGAGGTTACTATTGTAAAACCATCATTAGGAAAAAACCCAACCAAACTGCGCAAGTGAATGAAAGAACTTAATGAACAAATGGTAAGCAGTGTGGATCATGAACTAGCTCCAACAGCTGTTCCACAATCACCTTATCATTAATTATACCTCAGAAAAAACTAAACACATAAAGAAATAGTAACAAGAACAAAAACAATAATATAAGAAAAATAAATGATGAATTAACAACCGCGAATAAGAACAAATAAGTGATAAATCTGTGTGAAGGAGAAAGTTGCACATCTCTGAGCTTCTAAAGTCAGAAGACTAGAATGAAATCAAGCGATTAGATAGAAAAAAGGGTGAATAGTTACTATCATAAAAAAGCACGAGCAAACAAACAAGAAAAGAAAGAAAGAACAAAAAAATCTATGAAATAGAGTAAGACATGGATAAGATAACAATGAAAAAAGGAGATTTAAATTAGGAAGAAATTACAAATAGTAATAAAGAGAGATACACAAAAATGAACAAAAAAGACGGGTGAAAAGAAATACAGAAAGAATTAAACTGCTGAACATGGTAAAAGATTAGTGCATGGCCTGCTATAAAAGAACATCAAAACAGACCCCATAACATAGCCATTATAATTGACACTATTTATGGGCTATTGCACACTTAAAATAAGCACTAATAATAAATAAGTAAAATATAACTTTTATATGCACGTGGGAAAAAAAATAAAATATAAGAGAACACGTGAAAAACAAGATATATAAAATAATTACTCCATATATATAAAGGTGGTAATTAAGAAGTGAATTCACAGAAGTAAATCAAAAATTGAAGGTACTCGCATTAAGATAAACATAAAAGAACAAAAATCTCGATATAGAAAAACAAAAAAAGGAAATTTCAATCAGCCATATAAACGAATTTGAAGAAACAATAGAAAAGAACATGAATATCATTGACAAAACACACAATAAATTAAACAGCAAATGAAAATTAACAAACTCAAATACAATGTGATCTCTTTTATGAGATCAAAACTTTCAATTAAACAAAGCATTTAATAAATGGAGCTATCTATGAAGATGAGTTATAGGAATTACCATATTTTATATATTATTCTTACAGAAGAATCACATCACATTTGACTTAGGCAACATTCAACTAGTTTATTAAAAGAGACAAAAGAGAAAGATATATATAAATTCGGGGCATCGCTAAACTCACTATATATCTTATAAGTAGACATAACATTTATAATATCTCTCAGAATTTCCTCATCTTGTAAGTCTATGAACACGTACTATATAGAGTTGTGATGAAGTTTATTATTATAATATTTTTTTTTTTATAGAGCCCAAGAATCTCATACCCCTGTTGCCAAGAGACATGAGAAGATGATAATAAAGCTAGCTACATAAGCTCATTTACGCATTCAACAATCTAAGAGCTCAAGTGAAACACATCATGACATACCAGGAACAATCCCAGAGATAATACAAACAGAAGGAAAAAATACAAAAAACCAAAATAAAGCCACAGCTAGATGTAAGTTAGAAATTTTTTTGTAGAGATATGGTGTAACTCTAAAACAATTGCTCAGAGCTGGACTTAAACATCCTGGCCTCAAAGCAATCCTTGTAGCTGTAGGCCAATCAAAAACAAGAATGACTAGGGAATATAATAAGGCATGAGGCAATGTACCACCGGCCTCCGAGTTGTAGTGAAAGTTTAAATGAGAACACCAGCAAAAATGCTCATAAGCTGCTTACTTCTCAGATCAGTATCTAAGTACATTACAAAAATGAATTCTTTATGTATTCACACATACATAACACAAAAAAAACCAAACAATAACAATGCTCACACAATCTGGTCTCAAATTTAATTTTCTGGCTCATTTCTGGCACTCCATGGGCATGGACCCCCATCCATGGAGTTATGTGCATGTATTGTGCCCAAACGTGGATGAATACAGTGAGCATTTACACTAAGTGCCATACAATATATATAATAATAATAAAATAAACCAATACAGTAAATCACGTATGAACAAGCAGGCTATCCGCCACAAAAGCGTGGTATAAGCTAACAAGTACCTGTAATTTATAAGTGATTCAAGAATCAAAGGATACATGTGTAACTATTCACAGATTTTCACCCTAATGTGTCTGGCGCACCCTGCCTAAAGGTGTATCCTGCAATCTCCCTTTCTGTTCCTGTTTTCTTTTATGGTTAGACAAAAAGATCTACTTTTTAAAACAAGTATTTAGTATGCTTCCACACAAAGACAGGAATAAAATTTAGAGATATGAACATTTATCCAAAAACCTCCCCTTCTTGTATCTCTTATCTTTGTGACAGTGCCATTACTCAAACTCTGAGGATCCAGGCCAGAAACGTGGAGCTCTTTATCCTATTCTCCCAAGCCCAAGCCCTAGAATCCTAACTTGTAAATGTATTTCAGATGTGTTCCCTCTCTCCTTAATCATTGGATTAGTTCAGGCTCTGGATTACTCTAATAGTCTCCAAACTGATTTATCTCCTCCTCCTCTTAGCAAGTCTGCAACCCATTTTCTGGAATATTTCATCATGGGGGTTCCCAACTCCTCCACCATGTTACGATCTTCAAAGGCTCTTCCTACCTCAAAATAAAACGCAGACCGCGTCCTGATCTAGTCCTGTCTACAAGCTACCTTTCTGGGCACAGATCATCATCATTTCTCTGTATCCTTCCTGAGCTCAAGTCACAGGTAACTCCACTAGTACACCGACACACAACTCAGGCTCATCCTCTGGAAGGAACGAGGCCTAATGAGGTCAACAGCTTGTCTGAAGGCAACTGGCTATTTCTGTCATTACTGGATCTATCACGGGCATAGACCAAGTCACAGACTTCCTTAACGCAAGGTTGGTAACAGAACTCTCAGCAACGATAAAAATGTTGTGTATCTGTGCTATCCAATACATCTGCCACCAGCAACACTGGGCTTTTGAGCACTTCAGCTGTAGTTAATGTGACTCAAGCACTGAGTTTTAAATGTTATGAATTTTAGCTAATTTAAATGATCAGATGTGGCTAGTGTGCTGTACTGGACAACACAGCTATAAACGATCCACACTAGACATCTACTAAGGACTGACTGCCTGCATGACCCCCATCATGGAGTTATGCTGCATGTTTGTGCCCAAAACAGTGTATGTACAGTGCCTTTACCTAAAATGTACTTGTTGCCTACAAGGTACTCTTTATTACATATTGTATACATCACGTATACGTTATACAGGCTAGCGTACACAAAAGCATGTATACTGTACTGTAATTTATAAGTGATTTCAAGAATCAAGGTAATGTTAACTATCACAATTTTCACCTTATGTGCTGACTCACCCTGCATAAAGGTGTAACTCCTGCTCTCCCTTTCTGTATCCTGTTTTACTTTTATGGTTAGAAAAAGAAATCATTCTCACCGCACTTCAAACGTTTTCATTACTATTGTATCTGTTATGGTGCTCTGTGGTCCCTGATCTTTGAGGTTACTATTGTAACCATCTTAGGACACCACCAACTGCGCCGTGCATGACCCGTGCATGAAGAACTTAATGAACAAATGGTACCTGTGGTCTGACTGCTCCCACAGGCTGTTCCCTATCTCTTTTCTCCTCAGATCTCCCTATTCCCCAAGACACAATATTGAAATAATGTGAATTAACAACCCTACAATGGCCTCTAAGTGTTCGTGTGAAGGGGAGAGTTGCACATCTCTGACTTTAAGTCAGAAGCTAGAAATGATTCAAGCTTAGTGAAAAGGGTGTGTCTATCTAAAGCCACGACAGGCCGAAAGCGAGGCCTCTTGTGCCAGTCAGCCTGGTTATGCATGCAAAGGGAAAAGTTCTTAAAGGAAATTCAAAATGCTGCTCCAATGAACACACGGGTAAGAAATCAGAACAGCCTTACTGCTGACATGGAGAAAGTTTTGCTGGGCTGTATAAAACATCAAACCAGCCATAACATTGCCATTTTTTGACATAATGCTATTGCACACTTAATAGCCTATATAATGTAAATATAACTTTTATATGCACTGGGAAACCAAAAAATTCATGTGATTCGCTTTATTGTGATATTCTCTTTATTATGGTGGTTTAGAAGCGAATTCACAGTATCTCTGAGGTATGCCTGTAATACTAAGCAAATGCTGATTGAAGGAATTTACCATAGCCATTAAAGAATTTGAAGAAATAATAGAAAGAACTAGAATTCATTGTACAGAACACACAAAATAAACACAATGAAATTCTCAAACTCAATACCTGTGTCTCTTTTTGGATCAAAACTTTCATTTAACAAAGGCATTTAATAAATGGCTATCTCTGAGGACTGAGTTTATGGATTACCTATTTTATATTTTCTTTACAGAAGAATCACATCACATTTAACTTAGGCAAATTCAACTAGTTTTTAAAAGGAGACAAGAGAAAGTATATAATTTGGGCAATCCCACTCACTATTTCTTTAAGTATACATTTTATCTCTCAGAGATTTCCTCATCTGTAGTCTATGAACACGTACTTCATAGAGTTGTGATGAAGTTTATTATTATTATTTTTTTTTAGAGGCAGAAGCTCACTCTGTTGCTCAGGCTGGAGTGCAATGCTGCATACATAGCTCATTACAGCTTCCAATTCCTGAGCTCAAGTGATCCTCATGCCTCAGCCTCCCGAGTAGCTAAGACAGGCACACACTACCATGCCCAGCTAATGTTTAAAATATTTTTGTAGAGTTGGTGTCTCAGTAAGTTCCTCAGGCTGGTCTTGAACTCCTGGCCTCAAGCAATCCTTGTACTGTGACCTCCCCAAGTGCTGGGATTATAGGCATGAGGCACTGTACCCGGCCTCAGTTGTAGTGAAGTTTAAATGAGACAACACAGAAAATGCTCAATAAGTGTTACTTCTCAGATCATTCTACTAATTAAAATGACCTTCTTTTTGTCTTCACACTCATCAACCCAACATCCAATGCCCTCCACAATCTGGTCTCAATTTAATTTTCTGCCTCATTTCCTGCCCACTCCCTGCCATGACCCCCATCATGGAGTTATATTGCATGTTTGTGCCCAAAACAGTGTATGTACAGTGCCTTTGCCTAAAATAGACTTGTTGCCTACAAGGTACTCTTTATTACATATTGTATACATCACGTATACGTTATACAGGCTAGCATACACAAAAGCATGTATACTGTACTGTAATTTTATAAGTGATTTCAAGAATCAAGGATAATTTTAACTATTCACAATTTTCACCTTATGTGCTGACTCACCCTGCATAAAGGTGTAACTCCTGCTCTCCCTTTCTGTATCCTGTTTTACTTTTATGGTTAGAAAAAAGAAATCTACTTTTTAAAACAAGTATTTAGTATGCTTCCACACAAAGACAGGAATAAAATTTGGAGATATGAACATTTATCCAAAAACCTGCCCTTCTTGTATCTCTTATCTTTGTGACAGTGCCATTACTCAAACTCTCTGAGGATCCAGGCCAGAAACGTGGAGCTCTTTATCCTAGTCTCCTAAGCCCAAGCCCTAGAATCCTAACTTGTAAATGTATTTCAGATGTGTTCCCTCTCTCCTTAATCACTGGATTAGTTCAGGCTCTGGATTACTCTAATAGTCTCCAAACTGATTTATCTCCTCCTCCTCTTAGCAAGTCTGCAACCCATTTTCTGGAATATTTCATCATGGGGGTTCCCAACTCCTCCACCATGTTACCATCTTCAAAGGCTCTCCTACCTCAAATAAAACGCAAACCGCGTCCTGATCTAATCCTGTCTACAAGCTACCCTTCTGGGCACAGATCATCATATTTCTCTGTATCCTTCCTGGGCTCAAGTCACAGGTAACTCCACTAGTACACCGACACACAACTCAGGCTCATCCTCTGGAAGGAACGAGGCCTAATGAGGTCAACAGCTTGTCTGAAGGCAACTGGCTATTTCTGTCATTACTGGATCCATCACGGGCATAGACCAAGTCACAGACTTCCTTAACGCAAGGTTGGTAACAGAACTCTCAGCAACGATAAAAACGTTGTGTATCTGTGCTATCCAATACATCTGCCACCAGCAACACTGGGCTTTTGAGCACTTCAGCTGTAGTTAATGTGACTCAAGCACTGAGTTTTAAATGTTATGAATTTTAGCTAATTTAAATGATCAGATGTGGCTAGTGTGCTGTACTGGACAACACAGCTATAAACGATCCACACTAGACATCTACTAAGGACTGACACCATCAACTTGAGCATAAACACCATACATAATAAGTGAAATGGTACAAACTGTGAATATAGATGGCCTTAAAACCTTTAAACAAAAAAAGTTAAACAGGCCGGGCGCAGTGGCTCACGTCTGTAATCCTAGCACTCTGGGAGGCCGAGGCGGGTGGATTGCTTGAGGTCAGGAGTTCAAAACCAGCCTGAGCAAGAGCAAGACCCCATCTCTACTATAAATAGAAAGAAATTAATTGGCCAACTAATATATATAGAAAAAATTAGCGGGCATGGTGGCGCATGCCTGTAGTCCCAGCTACTTGGGAGGCTGAGGCAGGAGGATCGCTTGAGCCCAGGAGTTTGAGGTTGCTGTGAGCGAGGCTGACGCCACGGCACTCACTCTAGCCTGAGCAACAGAGTGAGACTCTGTCTCAAAAAAAAAAAAAGTTAAACAAAAAAAGTAGTATAGGAAATGTAGTGTGATAGCCTGTTTATCAATATTTATAAGCTCAAATATTTTTTTTTTTTGAGACAGATCTCACTTTGTTGCCCAGGCTAGAGTGAGTGCCGTGGCGTCAGCCTGGCTCACAGCAACCTCAATCTCCTGGGCTCAGCGATCCTCGCTGCTCAGCCTCCCCGAGTAGCTGGGACTACAGGCATGCGCCACCATGCCCGGCTAGATGTTAGGTATATATATATTTTAGTTGGTCCAATTTAATCTTTTCTATTTTTGTAGAGACGGGGTCTCGCTCAGGCTGTTTCGAACTCCTGACCTTGAGCGATCCGCCCGCCTCAGCCTCCCAAAGTGCTAGGATTACAGGCGTGAGCCACACGCGCCCGGCTACTCAAATATTTTCCATTTCCTTCTCACTGTTTTGATTAAAATGTGTGCTTATGAGAGACCTTTAAAAATGTTGATTAGCACATTTTTGTGTTATCTTCATTCACTGCTATCCTTCCTTTTCCAGTCTACTGAAAACTAAATTTCTAGATGAACTGATATGATTTAGAGATATGTGGAGAAAATTGAAGTGGAGAAGGAAGTACAGAAGCACAGAAAAATGAATTTGCTGATGGAAAAAAATGGATTTCAGGGCAGAGAAGATAATGTCTGAAATGAATACATGGACCAGAAAGAAAAAAGGCAAAAAGTCATGGAATCAAGCAAAAATGAATGTTAATCTGCTACCAGGGACTTGTTATATTTCAGGAAGTACTACAGAAAGACACTGTTGAAAAGAGCACAAAAACATCCTGAAAGGAGAATCGTGTCATAGAATAAGGGAAATACACTACTAAGAACAAACACTACTCCGTTTTACCCCTGGTGGAGGCTAGCTCCTCCACCAATGAAGAAACTCAGATTTAAATGACTTGCCCAAAGCCATGCATCTACTTCATGACAGCAGCATTCAAATTCAGTTCTTTTTACAGTATTTGTGAAGACAGATCTTTTTTTTATACTCATTGGATTTCTGGCTGAATTCTATTAAACTTGAAAATAAAAACTATGCCAACATTTTTATCTGAGTAACATTTAGAACACCATTAAAAATATCTAATCAGTTTAGTTTTACTCGAGCTTTTGAGATCAGAATGTATAGGTTATAGTGTAATTTAATGTATTAATTTAAGCCTTCATTCCTGAAAACTACAGTAGTCTCCTAAGCTACTTCTCTGCTTCCCCATTTTTCTGCTCCAAACTATTCTGCACAAGCTATCAGAAGAATATTCTCATCATATCAAGACCATCATTCCCATATATCTAAAAAATAAATTCCGAACTTATCCTAAAACTCAAAAAGATTTATGATATGGATCCAACATACCTTTCTGATCTTAGGTCCAGCAACTCACCTGTCAGAGTCTCCAATAGAGTCAAACATGCCTAATCAGTGTGACTCAACTAAATGCTTGTACCTTATTGCCTCTCAATCCTGCTCCTATTGTCTCCCTACCTAAAATGCCTTTCCCTATTTTTACTGCCTAGTCAAAGGCTTTACTCCTCCCAGAATCAATTTAATCTATTTTGTGAAACCTCCCTAGCTCATCTATCTTCTGGCCCAATGACCTCTCCCTTCTGTGGACTAAGGTATTAATACAATAAAGCAAACATGGTAATTCATTATATATTGGCTTGTGAATCTGTATCCTAAACTACTGCTTATTTTATTATTTGACAAATGTTTTTGTTTTTCTTCAACTAGGAAAGTTCCTTGAAAGTGGAACTTATGTCATGCATATTTTTAACCACTTTGGTACGAGCATTGACTATAGTCGACAGCCACAGATGAACCGAGTGTCAACTTTAGCCGACAGCCATGACATGAAGGCGCACAGCTGAGCGTCCGCTTTAGCCGACAGCCATAATATGACTTTTCTAATTTTTCATTTATCAAAATAAAATTGGGAACATTTAAAAATAATGTCATGAAAACATATATGTATATGTTACCTATTCTGATTTACATGACAAGGAAAGCTGCCTGTGAAGTCAAATAAGCTTTCGGTGCTTTCCAGCTTTCCTCATCACACAAGAGCAAACAGACTCGTCGTCCATGCACAGCACAGACCACCGTGCAGACTGCGAGTGCCGGCTGTGGGCGAGGGGTCCCGGCTGGTGAGCGCCGTACCCAAGTGGTTAAATCCCCAAAGCTTTAGCAGTGCTTGAGACGTGGCCAAGCTAACTCTTAGTTTCTGAAAAGTCTTAGTTTCTGAAAAGAAATGCAAACACTTCCTCATCAACCCCAGTCAGTTCTAAGGCCCAGAATTTAAATTTACAAAAACACTGCTTGTTTCTAAATTCTAACATATTAGCTAAATAACTCTTAAAAGTCATAAACACTATACTTTTATAATACTCTAAACAAATAAAACAGATTTAAACTAATCATCAGCTCACCGACAATATGGATTTCTTCGAGAGGAATATCGAAGAGTAAGGAATCTATAGTATATAAAAGGCTGGAGCAAACTTCCTTGACCACTGAAATAAAAAATACAAGGGTGCGAAAGATACATTATCAATTCATATGTATACCCTCAAAACTTAAAGGCAATTCAACTGGAGAATTATGTGTACCTTCAATTCATCAAATGATCACAGTAATAGCATAGCTAAATCCAAGTTATTCTTAAAAGGGAAATAAAAGAAAGTATATAATCAGTAAAGAGTAAAATATTGTTTTAATTTTATAAATGTATTCATGCATGTGCTACTTATGAATTTTTTTCTTTTCTCACATCAAACTGGTAATGTGCCCAGGTCAGACAAGGTTTGAGGGAGGCATACCTCAAACGTGAGGGCAAAGACCCAATCGTCACGCTCATGAGCTCCAAAAGGATAAACTTTTGAAATTTTTAAAATACTAAATAAATCAGAAAATATCACATAATTCCATAATTGCCACAATTAAATGAAATCAAGTTTTAAAGCTTTGTTAAGATATTCAAATGAAAAGTGGTGTATTCAGATAAAAAGTGGTGTATTTTATATAAACAGAAACAAATCTGAATAAAATTATACTGGCTCACTAGAAAATCTGCATAGCCTATATTAATTATTGTTCTTGGTTAAAAGTACAATTATAATATCCCAAAAGTTGTGTGTGTATATATTTATATATCTATTATATATATATAAATCTAATTGTTAAAAGGGATGTTTTCTTTATTCATGTATTATGTCTATAACTAAGATACAAACAAAATAAGGAGGCAATGCCAGGCAACTATTAACACAAGACCATAATTTTTAAGATTTTTCTCTAGTATAAGAAAAATCATCTCAACAATGGCACAGTAGAGTTCCTAAGATTCTAGTTCCTAAGATTCTTTCAAAGGTAGTAATTTTCAAAATTACTACCTTTCAAATAATAAATCACAAGGAATGATAAAATAAGACAAATTCCTAGGTTAACTTTGTTTTAGTTTCTCTACTACAAAATGGCAAGGGTTAGTTAAGGTGATAGCTAAGATCCATCTGGCTCTACATGCTACCTACCTACCCTACTTCAACAGATTTAAGCAGAACAAAACTCGAATTCATATCTTTATTATGTTTAGTCATCAGCCTTCCAAAACAAATGTATTTTTTTCTTACCTAAAAAGCATAAAAACTGTAGCAGGCATCAAGAATATTTCATTACAAGCAATGAATTTCAGAATATTTTGTTGATTAGCACTTAATTTATCCAAGACAGATCTCAGCAGAGGTAAACTATTTGAACCCTTTGCCTAAAACAAAAGAAAACAAATATTAGAAATAATGAAACACTTTTGATTAACTCAATTATTTTCTTTCTTTAGATAACTAGTATACCCAACAGGCAATACAACCAAAAGCCAATTATTTGGAAAAGATGGTATAAAAGTTTACAAACTATTTAAGGACAAAATGTTAGTGTATTTTCCTGCTCTATTTTGTGTGTTTAATGACTTAACCAAAAAAATAACTTTAGTACTAAAGTACTTTTTCTTATTTTATTTTTCTTAAGAAAGATTAGATTATTTCACCAAAAAGTGGTGGTTATTTCTGTCCAATCACAACAAAATTGGATTATGCAGTAAATAAAGGTAAAATACCTGTGACTCCTAAGCTAACTAACAGTAGAAATTAGAGTCTAATTACTTCTGTGACCAAAGAATTACAGGAAAAAAGAAAAAGGCTAATAACACAAGGCATAAATCTGGATATTTTAATTCAAATTTCAGTGCATATGCAGTAAATCTACCACACACTAAAGACAGGCTTAATGTTCCAAATCAGCAATTAAAAAAAAAATTTTCGGGAAAGCAGTAGTTCTAAACATTAGTGTAAAAGAGATTCAGCACACTCTAATTATCTGGTATGTTAGAATTAAACACTGAGAGAACAAGAGATTTCTGACAACTCATCAAATTTAAGAAATAATTACTTTTTTTTAAAAGATAAGAGATCTATTTCAAACTTCAAAAACTGTTCTGGGGACCTGGGAATAATTTTAAGTGCAATCCTTTAACTTACAAAATATACCCATTTGTGAAACTTCAACAATAAAAACTTCTAAACTTAAAACTTTCAAATCACTAAAAAAATTTTAACAAGTTTGTAAGCAATACAGACTTTTTATGACAAACACCAAAATGTCTCAGAAGTCAAATTCATGTCAAAGATCTATAATCCAGGCATCAAAGAAATAGCATAGTTTTACTTACATCAAGGACCTTTTTCGTATACGTGGCAGCATGAAGCAAAGAGAACAACAAGACTGGGAAAATACTCACTGAAGAAAACAATTAAGGAAAACATTTAAAAGCCATCAAGTACTTTGCAAAACATACTAGGTACTATGTCCAAAAACGACATCTGCTACAATAATAAATTTGGTGGAATGGCTTTTGTTTTACTGATACATTTTAAACCAAGTCAAGTTCTGCTAACTGTAAAGAAGTGATTTCATTTTCTAAAACTCACTGTTCTTTTGATGAAAAAATTAATAGCGAAAAAAAGTTTCATTTATTTCTATTGGTTAATAAAACATCATAAACATTTGCTAAAGTAAATTGAAATCTAGGCCACCTCCAAGGCTTAAATACAGCTTTTAACCCCACCATGGCCTTCCCAGCCACTCTAAGTTAGCCTTCAAACACGGAAGTCGTCTTTACTAATCTCAATTGCTGAGCAAAGTCTGAGGTAATGGTAAGAGTAGTTCCTAAATGTTACTCAACTAAAGATTTTATTTCCTTCCTACAAAGACGCCATTACTGAGTTACTGTACCTATCAAGCCGTTACAATTCTGTTAATTTATAAAAATAAAAAAGACAATGTATTTTGGGGGGAGGGGGGAAATGGGCATTTATTGAAACCTTAAAATTTGTACCCCCATAATATGCTGAAATTAAAAAAAAACACAGAAAAAAAAAAAAAGACAATGTGTATTTGACACTGTATATAGTCAACTGCAAGTCCCTCAGTTTATTTACAGACACAAGGAGAGAATCTTTATTTTTGGGTCCAACTGTTTGGCTTTATGCTGTGGAAAAATATACAATTTTCATTCAACTTTTTGAAAAATGGAAATTGCTCTAAAGCCTGATTCTCTACCCCAATATCTGCCAGGTTGATTTTAAAAAACTTGCCAAGTATTTCCAAAAAATGATGCAGACTGTCAGTCAATCATGAACGGCAAAAATACCTGTCCTAAAAATATTAGCAGTTTCTAAGAAATGAACCATTATATTTTTCTATACTAACTGAAGGGCTGACATGGCAGGAAGTGGTTAACTGACATAACACAATCTGAGGATCAAATTCATCATAACCACAACTCATTTAGGACGACCCAAAGGCTCCTAGTTTCCAATTAATGAGCAAGACACAGACTTACACCCAAGTGTTACAAGAACTCTAATAACATAGTTCTCCAAAATAACACCCTGACCAATTCTTTCCCACCATTTATGAGAATTAGGAAAAATGCCAACTTCCTGAGTAGAGATCATAGATAGATAGATAGATAGATAGATAGATAGATAGATAGATAGATAGATAGATAGATAGACAGACAGATAGTTAGATAGATAGATAGATAGATAGATAGATAGATAGATAGATAGATAGATAGATAGATAAACAGTTTTAAACTTTGTAATGAATCGTAGACTCCTTTGAAACTGGTAAAAGCTACAACCGCCTCCCCTAAAGTGACTGTGAAACTGTTGTTGCTTAAATAATTCAACTTAAACCCTGACATATACCCAGACTTGAAGCCTGATTCAGTAAGAGGCAGTATTAGGCAGTGAAAACAGAACCCTGAATTGGGAGTCAAGATACCTGGGTTACGCACCTGGCTATGTAACTAACCTCACTTTCCTTGGCCGAGTTTCATCCTCTATCAAATGATTAAGTAGAGATCAAAGCTAGAGATCTCTAAGAGTCATTTATCTCTAATAGTCTATAGTTCATAAATTCCTGACAAAAAAAAATTCATAATCTTAGCTTTCAAAGTTACTTTTAAAGTACATATTTAGAAAAGAGAAGAGGTGAAAAGTCTACAATTTAAACCCTACAAACCTGTCACTGATAAAGCAAGGACAACAGATCACTTTTGTAAGAACAAAGATCAAAACACAAGTTTGTAATACAGTATTACTTCGGGCCCACCTTGATTTATTACTGTAATACCCAACTACCTTTGGAATCGGATTAGCATTTCTTGCCAATTATTCGTTTATGTTACTCTCACTGCTCACTACTTTCCCCTGTAAGGATTTAAGGAATATGAAAACCTTAATCGTCAGCATTTCCATGAGAGAGGGGCTAGCAAATAACTGACCACACAGAAAAGGCAGAGGGTTGTTTTCACTGGCCATGAGCCTCCCTGGACAGGAACACTGAGCTCCTCCTGTGTAGCGGGCACGTCCGTCCCAGAGTTCAGCAGTAACGCGTTCAATGTACTCTGTATTAATTATCCGGAAAACACGCTTCCTGCCATTTCTGTTTCTCCCTCCAAAGAGATTTTAAGCTACTAAAAGGCATAACCAAAAATCTCTACACAAACTTCCCATTATATCTCAGAAAGGCAAGAATTTGAATACTGCAATTGGCGACTGCAAATCTTGTCTCAATGGATGTGACCAACAAATGCTGGTCAATCCAGTGATATGCCAAACAGATGTGATTATCATTTTACAGTTGCAGTACAATAATCATTTAGTGAGTTTTACCTAAAAATGAAATACAAATTATGATGGGATATTACAGACCCATGCACTGAAACACGAAAAACTTTATCCTTACGTTTCAAACTACTTAAATTACCTTGGTAAAGTAGCAAAATTTAAACGGATATTTACTCATATATTTATTGTATATTTATCCATATACAAATATTTTTAAACGATACTTCAGTCTTACTCATCCATTAATTGTAGATTAGTTAGGGCTTTTAAGTTAAAAAGACCCTGTCAGCATTACTACTTATTAGCTTGTATCATTATCATTATATAACAGGACAATTTTTTCAGAGTGCTGAAAGATTAAATATGTCAAGTTCCTATACATTGGCTAAATAGATGCTCAAGAAAATTCAGTTTCCTCCTATTCTCTTTTCCTTAAGACTTAAACAAATCAATTGAAAAATTTCATACTTCACCAACATATGTATTCTCTAAATAGGTAACAGTCTTAGAGAAATTATTTTATTGTGCTTTACATTATGTATAGTTGTACCATAAATATTCAAAAGCTATTAAAGCAGCACTTCTCAAAGCACACACACACAAAAAACCCCCCAAAAATATCAGAATTTCCAGAGGGACAATCAACAGGAAAAAAAAAAATCACCAAAAAAAGTTACAAAACACGGTTAATAACTCTTTTAGTTTCACAAGGCACATCAGAATATCAAAGGTTCCCAGGTAAAGAATCCCATTTAAAAATGTTTAACCTAGCGTTTCCCAAATACACTGGACTGTGGACCTCTCTCATTCTTCCCCTCCTTTTTGGAATAATACCCATTTCTCTTCCCACAACACACTTTTTAAATGTGAAAACATATAAATAAATTCCAAATGAGTTATTTAATTCTCATTAACTCCAGGGGTTATCCACATGTGCCCTATCCTCTACTCTATCTGCAGCAAATATTATTATTAATCCTCCCATTCTCTAGTGAAATAAGTTATTTCTTGGCTAATTTCCACTTGTTTCTAGCTCACTGGGAGTTAAGAAAAGCAAAGATTGAGGACCTTTATTTTTTAAAGACATCTGGACACTTTCCCAAAGACGATATAAATTAAAGAAAATCTTAAATACTAAAGTGAGTTCTGCATAGCCTTGCTTTGAATCTGAATTTTTAAAAATCTATTCCAATAGAGAAGCGTACAAGAGGCAAGGAGAAAGAAAGACAAAGTTTAAATTTTCCAAATTAGCTCTTCAAAGTTAAGGCTTCATATTTCGGAGTCAGAAATTCTCACACATTTAAATGAAGCAGCAAAAAAAAACTCAGGCTTCACGGAATGCCTCACTGCTGAAATAATCAGAAGAGACCTCCTCTAGAGTTGGTTACTTCATTGCCAAAAAGGTAGAAAAGGATACTTGTAACGGGATAGGAATTGACAAAGATGAGCGAATACAGCAGGTAGTGGCAGCTGTCTTCTAATAGAGCCTGGGCCAGGAATGCTCTGCTTAACTGGAAGTGTGGCAGCCTCTGGTGCAGCCTCAGAGCGCTGGTAAGAGCATTTGCCAACAAGGCACGCTGGTAAAAGCTTGCTGCTTCATGCAACCTGCGAATCACCAGAGGAGAGGTTATCAGGAGACATAAACAACCACCAGGTCTCTTCCTCCTCTGTGAATTGCATCATGATTGCACAACACCTAAATCATTTAACTGTCAATAGGAAAAAAAAAAATGACTTGAACTTACTCTACCTCCTTACAAGCATAACTTCATGTATATATGCCCAACTGAATTTCGTAAAGCAGTGATTTTCCCTGTCCAGTTGAAAAAAATTCAAAACACATGAATTCATCTCATTCCCACACATCTGCTTTTTCCTCAGATTTTCAATGTGATGTCAATTTCACAAACCACAAGATACAAAATATTCCTCCAGCTGACGACAACAGTATTAGGCTTATTAGTGTCTTAAGGTTGGGTCTTGTATTTTGTTTGTCTTTAAACCCTTTACAGTTTAACAAGCCTTACGCCTTAAAGGCATCCCATATAATATAAACTGACTGAACAACTGAACAGCAAAGGCAGCAACATAAACAATACATACCCGAGAAGAGGCAGGACAAACAAAGCGGAGCAGTAAACTGTGAACAAGCGCGAAAGCCACATTGCTGTGTCCAGTTTGTTGGTCATCAGGAATTGCTAGGTTTAAAAAGAAAAATACTGTAGTAAACTAAGCCTGCAAATTATGTTTTTAAGGATGAAGACAGTGTAGTTTTATGCCTATTCAAAATGTTTAACAACTCTGTAACATTTGTTTTTCAGATCATTAAGTGAAAACTCTAAGGCAATTAACTGTTTCATGTATATACTTAATGACAGGTCCAACCTCCTCATTGTTTTCATGTAGGAAGCACTTAAACAGAAATAAAGAACTACCAGCTGACATTTAAAAAAATTTAAAAAAGACTTAATTAGGAAATCTGAACAAAAATTTAACTACAATTGTGTGTCCCTTCAACACTTAATAATGCTGGCTTCATCTATTTTAAAAGAACATTAAATACGAACTAATTGCTCTCAGGGGAACCATACTGCCTATTCTTAGAAAAAAATCTCAGATCCAAATAGGTAGGTCTCGGAGCTGAGTAAAAAGGCATCACATAAAGCCAGTTTGGATTAAATAAACCTTTTGCAGGAGAAATGTAAAACCACAGTAATGGTAACTACTGAATTCATTAGCCTTGGATGATTTGCCTATATAAACAAGGGCCTGGCATACTGTAGGTGCTCAAAACATGGCTGTCAAAAATTAAATGTCACCTGCCTCTCTAATTATATGATTCTCTTTATCATCTCCAAGTACCCCCACAAGTCTTATTTTAGAGGTCTTTATTTTAGTTTCAGTGGCCTAGAATAAACTTCCACATACCGTTTTCTTCTCCATTTTTCCCATTCTATCTTTTCTATTGTGCTTTTTTACCCAGTATATGTGTCCATAACACTAAAGCAGAACTTAAAGTCTGTTTTTTTCATTAAATGCATCTTATATTCAAATCTAAATTGGCTTATATTTTTTGACTAGGATTCCATTAAACAATTTTAACACTGAGATCCAACACAAACATACATAGGTATATAAAGTCCACAAAGTTTCACACGCAATAAGCACCTTTACTATGTGTGATGGCTTTTACATTTTCTATTTAAATTTTTTCAAATTGCCCACTAAACTGATTTCAAAGCTCACTAATAGGTATACCTAAAAGTCAAAATATTTGTTCTATGCAATTTAACTTCATTACTTTTTGAAAAAATTTGGGAAAAATTCAATACACCTAAAAATCCATTCAGCAAAACAACATAATTTCATTGGTTAGGACAAAAAAAAAAAATACAAAAATAATGAAAAATAAATATTAAAAATAAATAAAAATAAAAATCCAGGGATGTTTTGTTGTGATGTCTTTTTAACCACATGCAGGTAATTTCAGAAACATGAAACATGCGTCTGGTTCAGTCTATCAGATCTGCCATACTGTGGACTCCTCTAAATTTAAATGATTAGCAGTGACCAAGAGGTAGGATGAATCTAGCTACTGTGCTCAGTTTCTCTACAAAAATATTCAACTGTTACACACAGTTCGACACTAAATTTAGTTTTAGAATATTCTCTTTAAATCTGTTCATTTAGGGTGTTTATTCTGCACTATATCACTGAGCCAGCAGTTCATTTGTACGGTTTTACATATATTACACAATAAAAAAAGTTTAAGTGTACTGGTTTACGTTTTTAAAGTGAATTGCCCACCACCATATATAATACACAGTTCAGCAAAAACATCACTGGTCTTTGGGTGAAAAAATTGTTGGGAGCAATATATTCACACAGTTTCAAAGTACCATGCCAAAGAACACTTTTAAACACAAAAGGCAAAAGGTCTCTTTACAATGGAGAATCATCAGGTGGCACCATCTTAACCAAACAATAACTTCCACTGATGGGATAAACCAACCTGAAATGCATTATTATATGTATATGGCACTAAGAACACAGTTTCACTTAGGTAACCTTCCTGACAAAATGTTTAACCTGAATCTAGTTGTGTGGGGAAAAAAAAATTAGACAACTCCAATTTGAGGAGCCTTCCGCAAAGAAAGTATAGGCTCTTGAAAACTATAGGTGTCTAGAAAGACAAAAAAAAAAAAAAAGAGGAGAGGGTGGGGGAACTGTTCTAGATTAAAACAGACTTAAGGAGAAATGACCAGTACATTCAATGCATGTTTTCTGATCGAATCCCAGATAAGAGAAGGCAGCTTTGAAGGACAATTATGGAAATCTGAACACGGGTTGCACATTAGGCAACATTTCCCAAATGTGGTGAATGCACTGTGGCCGTGCAGAAGAACACCTGTAAGTATTTATGGATTAAATACTGTTCTAGATTAAAACAGACTTAAGGAGAAACGACCAGTACATTCAATGCATGTTTTCTGATTGAATCCCGGATGGGAGAAAGCAGCTTTGAAAGACAATTATGGAAATCTGAACACAGACTGTACATTAGGCAACATTTCTCAAATTTGGTGAATGCATCGTGGTCGTGCAGAAGAACACTTCTTAAGTATCTACGGATTAAAAGCCAGAGAGCAATAATGCCCCGGATACTAATAACTATAGTTAGCTCCAGAACAGCACCTTAATAATTTAAAAAATCTGCAAAAGCAGATTTCTATTTCTATCAGAAATCCTATTTCTCTGCATAAAGAAGAACAAAGTTAGCCGGGCGCAGTGGCTCATCCTGTCATCCTAGCACTCTGGGAGGCCGAAGCAGGTGGATTGCTCGAGGTCAGGAGTTCGAAACCAGCCTGAGCAAGAGCGAGACCCTATCTCTACTAAACATAGAAAGAAATTAATTGGCCAACTAAAAATATATGGAAAAAATGAGCCGGGCATGGTGGCGTATGCCTGTAGTCCCAGCTACTCGGGAGGAAGCTGAGGCAGGAGGATTGCTTGAGCCCAGGAGTCTGAGGTTGCTGTGAGCTGGGCTGACGCCCACTGGCACTCACTCTAGCTGTGCAAAAAAAAAAAAAAAAAACCAAAAAAAAAAAGAACAAAGTTCAGAAAAAAACCCAAAACTACACCACTCTCTCCTCCCTTTGCATGACTTCAGTGTGCAATCGGCTTGCACCTTCTGCACCTCCACGGGCCGGCCCGTCACCGCACACCTGCAGGGGGCATCTTCCAGCTGGGGTGGGGGTGGGGGTGCCCAGAACAATCAGAGGCCCAGGTGTGGAAAGAGAGAGGGGGAAAAAAAAACCAAAACGCCCAACCCCTCCACTGCACCCAGGTGAGGGCCCACCTGCTCCAGGCACTCAGGTGAGGGCCAACCTGCTCCAGGCCAGGCCCGCCGTCGCCCTGGAAACGACCCCGTGTCCTCCCCCACCCACCGCGGCCCGCGACCTCTCCCTCCCCGCCCCCACCGCCGCCCACGAACCCGGGCGCAGCGAGCCCCGGGCCGCCCGGTCCCCCGCCGCAGCCCGCTCACTCACCACGGCGCCCGCCCCTTGGGGGCCGTTCGGGGCCGTCTCCGCCATGGGGGGACCCGCGCGGCGGCGCCTCGGTCGCCCAGAGAGACAGACAGAGAGACAGAGAGAGAGAGCGCACAGGGACGGCGCGCCCGCGGCCCCGGGCAACCGGCCGCCCCGGCTCGCTCGCGCCGCGCCCCGACGCCGCCGGGAAACGGGCCTCGCTCGTCCGCCCCAAGGACGGAGGGCACCTGCAGCGGCCGCGCCGAGTCCCCGCTCGGCCCCGCCGAGAGCAAAGTGCGGCTTCCAGAAAGACCGGAAGGAAGGAGCGGCTTCGGCTGGAGGCCCTCGGGAACGCCGCCAGCTCCAGCTTCCTGCGCGACCCGGAAGTGCTCCTTCCATTTCCGTTGGGGAGGAGGCGGTGACCTCGGAGAGGACGGGGCGGTGTTCTGAGGCATGACGGGAAGTGTAGTTTTTTCCCCCTCTCCTGTCTGCGAGCCTGTTGGATCAGGGAACTAATACCGTGTTTCCCCCGGAAATAAGACGCCGGGGTCTTATATTTATTTTTCCTCAAGAAGACACCCTAGGGCTTATTTTCAGGGGATGTGTTTTTTTTTTGAGTACGCTACAACCATCTCCATTGATTCAAATAGAGTGAAGGCGTCTTCTTCTGGAACATCATCCTCACTCTCCAAACCCCGAATCCATGCTGAATGTCTTGCACTCTGTTTCCTTTAGAACCACTGCCCGATCTCTCCTGTGGAGCACTAGAGCTCTCACGGGCGGATGAGAAGGGGTGTGTTCTTTCCCGCTCCTCGACGACACGCATGGTTGGGCGATGCGGCTGCGCAGCCACGCCATCACTAGGGCTGATTTATAGCCACGCGCATCACTAGGACTTGTTTTTATAGCCACGCTTTCACTTTTCGTTCTTTATCCT